AAAGTTGTTATTACATTCCTAATAGATGGACTTATTTACCCAAAGATATTATTACATTTCTAATAGATGGAATTATTTACCCAAAGTTGTTATTACATTCCTAATAGATGGACTTATTTACCCAAAGATATTATTACATTTCTAATAGATGGAATTATTTACCCAAAGATGTTATTACATTCCTAATAGATGGACTTATTTACCCAAAGATATTATTACATTTCTAATAGATGGAATTATTTACCCAAAGATGTTATTACATTCTAAATACAATATTTTGAGAGGTTTTCGCCTTTTTTATATTTACTGTTAGCTAATATATATATATTTGCATTACAGGATAAGCAGCAGATAACCTATTGAAAATAAATCGACTATAATTGTAACGACATCTTGTTGTTTCATAGGAGAGTTGTACTGTCCAAGAACATTCGACGGGTGGAGCTGCTGGAATGACACACAAGCAGGACAGGTAGCACGAACGCCTTGTCCACACTTTATCCCTGGATTTAACCCCGATCGTACGTCTTTTTTGTTGTTGTTGTTGTTGTTCCATTTTAGAAGACAATTGGGAATAAAATTCAAAATCACATCTTATACTCAATCTATATAATTTTGTGGTATGTCTAAACTTTGTAATGATGATTTTATCTTCCACTGTTCAGTGCATTTTTAAATCTAGAAGATAAGCTAACATCTGAAGTGTTTTCTAAGCTTTCCTCCAACGATAATTCGTGATTTAAATTAGTTTCCAAAACACACGTAAAGAAATACTTATCATTAATGTGTAACAAAAATGTCCATTTTAATAGTTTTTTTTTAAATACATCCTATAATTCAAGAGATACAAGAATTTTTTGTTTTAGTACATTCAAACTAGTGTTATGTGACAATCAGTGCTTACTATGATTGACGTTAGTAATTATTGCTTGCTTAGATCTTTTGCTGTTTAAAGCCTCAAGTTTAGTCAGTTTTTACAAAATACATGTAATGACTTTTTATCTCATATAAGAGTCACATTGTTTTCTCTCTTTGTTTATATACGTAATGGTGAATCGCAGTAAATATATTCATTATTCACTATTCCACAAACCTCTGGAACAAATGATTATTGAGTCTAAATCTGACAGATATGTGAATTGATGAAACACCTGTTTTTCATTTTCCTGTACTATAATTCCGTTTGATATTTCTTTCTTTCATCTTTCATAAAGCTTGCAATTACTCTTGTAAAAATGCACGAACAGGGTAAAACAGTTTTAACAGTCATGAAATATATTTAGTGTTTATAATTAAACGAACTGATCATTATTTCGTTAATTGTCTGTCATAGTACTAATACGGCGATAAGTACTTAATAGCAGGAAATGAGACGTTTCTAAAATATAAATTATAGAGTTTTCACTAAAGTCACCAAGGTTGTTTCGCAGAAATTACTCATTAGGTGTATAGCTTCTTCAAGTTCAGTGTGGTCAATCTGATTGAAGTCTTGTATAGGAATTGTGAAATAAAAATATATGGTCTTTTGGCTTAAAAATTATTAAATGTGAATTAATTTGTAAGGCTTACAGTCATAACCGAAGATAATTAATTAATCGAAAGACAATTGAATTGATGGAATGTTCTGTAATAATAACATTGTATGTGAATGGAAAAAAATGACCAGATTGATTTTTTTTGTATATAAAATATAAATAATTTAGTAAAGTTAAGTTAATAAAGAAAACTTTTTTTTTTTTTGCAAGAAAACAACCATGTGAAAATGTACATATTTTTCAGTGGTTGAGCAAATGTATTCTTTATTCAACGTTTTCATTTTTCCTTAACATCGTTTTACGTTGGCTTTCATATTACATCAACAAATAAATCGCTGTAAGGAAAAACAAGTTAAGCATTTCTTTGTATTTCCAGATCTTAACATCTTGTAGTTACATTTCTTTATGAGTCGTGTTGCAATATCACTTAGGTCAAGCTTACAAAGTATGTGAAGAAGATGGACAGTGGTTACGTCACCCGATGACCAATATGACTTGGTCAAACTATACAACATGCATTGATCAGGAAGATTTTGTAGTAAGTTTTCATATTCATAACACACATTAAACTACGTACTGGATATCCGGAAAGTTTCTTAACAAAACTATTTAACTGTGTGTGTGTGTAAAGTCATTAACTTCTGAACACTGTAATTTAATAAACTGTAACGAGCGTATTCGAAACTTTTTGAATGTAGATTGTAATATGTAATAAAATATCTACTTTCCAAACTCACTTAGGAAACGTCATGACTCGTTTGACCCTCAATTGCGCACCTATTTTATTCTATTATTTTCAGTAAACTTATTTATTCTCAGGTAACTAAATATCAAAATTGACAGGATATATTATCCTTACCAAATATAATTCGTCAACTTCCAAAATATTCAATTTATACGAAATATATTTTATTCACTAACAAAAGTCCAGTCGAGCTTGGAATTTAGAATCTTAACTGAAAGCATTTTCAGTGTTTTATCAAATGAAAAAAGCATTTCGTTCCCTCAAACTTTTTTGTTTTAACTCGTAGAATATTTTGTAAGCCAGGAATATAACTCTTTAATTGTTTCACTGTATATAGTTTGTATTTTTTATTTCTTTTACAGCAAAGTTACTAAGGTTATTCGTCGTTGTTCCTAATATTGAACTGCCGACCACAGGGAAGGTAATCGTTCAGTAGCACCCACCGTCAACTCTTGGGCTACTCTTTTACCAACGAACAGTGGGAACGACCGTCACATTCTAACGCTCTCACTGTTGAAAGGGGTGAGCATGTTCGGTGCTGGGTTTCGATCCTGCGACTCACATAATGC